TGGCTCCAAAATATCCACAGTGGCACTCTCTTTTCTACATCAGAATAGGGAGACAACAGTCATCTGACCTCAGGAACAGCTTTTCTAATGTCGTGCCTGGATGTGGGTTGATTTTTTTTTTTTTCCCTCAGTGTTTTGCCAAAGCAGCAGGCAGAGATCAAATCCTGTCTCGGCAGTACCTCATTTTGTAAACTTGCAACACTAATCTTACCCAGGAATTCGAGAGATACAGGCTCCTACAGCTCTGACTTGTACGTATTGATGCTCAGCTCTCCGTCAAATACATTCCCCGCTTCAGAAAGCACCCTGCCGGAGTTTAAGAGACATACTGAGCTCCTCCATACGTCAAAACTTCCGTGACTCCCCACCCGACAACGTTGCCCCTGATGCCGCACGCGTCTTCGCTGCTCTGCGCCGCTATCTCTTTGGCACTGAGCACTCTGTCCCACATGTTAAAGCCAGTTAATTTCCCGGAGAAGGCTAAAGCTTCATCAAATCCACCTCCAATGCAGCAGCCGTTCTTTTCTTGACCGATCTGCAAAATCCCTCCGTCTGGAATGCTGTGAGCGTTGGCAAGGTCTGAGGCGGTGGCGGCAAGCTCTCCCTTCACCCACAGGGACGCAGATCCGTTCTCTGAGCTCCAGGCGCCGCAGAGATGGATCCACTTGCCAGGAAAAACTGCGTTTTTGACAGCTAACTTGTGCTCGTTCCCACCAACGACCAGCACTGCAGACTCCCGGCTGAGATAAAGCTGGATTTCGTATGGATTGAACTTGGTTCCATAGGAGAAGATGATGGTTTTGTCCAAAGCCTCCGTCACCTTGATCCAGATACAAGCAGTAAAGGAGTGAAGGGACATTCCAGCAGTTGGGTGAACACTCCCAAATATCTTTTTCGAACGCATGGGGAACAGAATAGCTGTTTCACACCCTGAAAAAGTTAAAGAAGATTGTTAGGTCAAGAAAAACTATTTAGGACCTGTGCCCACTTCTGGGCAAAGAGAGAACTCAGCTCCTCCGGTGGGATGTAGGACACTTTGAAGAAGCTGTCGGATCTGACGGATGAGTTTGGCAAACATGATGGCCATGGGGCTAATGAGGCTGCAGGAACTCACTGCAGCAGTAGCGGGGTGTAGAGTCCTGCACCGTGAAAAGTGATGTTTAGGTTTGATGCTGCCTGCCTGGGAGATGGGGAAGACAAGTGGTATTTCTAAATTGCTTCATCTGTCCCGTCTCTAACGATGGAGAACAGGTTAGGTAAAACCACTAACAGAAGTTGATGCAACCTGGAAAAGTAAACGATGATCACAAAACCCAAGGCATTTTTGGTATTTACTGTTCCCTAGCTGCATAGAACTTAATATTCTAGGTGACGCGGGGGAGAAAGCAGCCCCCTTCTACAATTAGGCTGGATCGTTTCCTGTTTAAACAAGCCAGAGGATCTAAAATGTCTAAAACGCGTGCAGAAATTTCTGCTTCAGTGAATGAAGGACTCTTTGTGTCCTCCAGGATTGCTGTGTTATTTCACAAGCTGCTTCCTTCCAACTCGGAGCAGATTTTACATTTCTTCATTGGCCCTTTTGAGGAGGCGCAGGGTCAGTGAGCAACTGTTGGGGATACTCCTTAAAATGCTACTTGGGAACTCTATTGTGAAAAAGCTCTTAATTAGCAAGCTTTCTGGCTTTGTTATCAAGGCCTAAATAAAATTAAAACCAGCCTTACTGACAAACAAAAAAGTGTGATTAGAAAAATCCCTCAAGTGTATGCCTGGCAGTAATTCAAGATGTGAGAAATTAAAGTCAGTTGCTAAAAATTCCCTTGGAAAAAACAAAATCCAGAGGGAGACTTTGGAAGCACTTAGAATGTATCCTTTAAATTAAAAAAAAATAATCATATTTTACATAAAGCTATGTAGGAACCAGTGGAAACAATTTGGATTTCTGCTAATGAGACTGAGATGCTTAATGCTGATCGAGTTTGTTACTCTCACCTAGTGCAGAGTAACTGACTGTGAGGCTTAAAGGAGAGAGATAAAGAATGGGGTCATGCTTTTTGGAAAGCAAGATTCCTGTGTTTGGGGGAAGGAAAAAAAAAGGAAAATGCTGTAAGAATTGCTCCCAGCACACAAAGATGACTGAAGTGTTATGATAAATACAGGAGTAAAAGCAATTTACTTATAAAGCTGAACCTGTGCCCTGTATGGAATGATAGATTCATGTTAGATTGTAAAATGCTTTGATGTAAACTATTGTTATGTTGGGTTGGTGTTGCAACAGGCTTGTGTAAGCCGTTGCTTTTGCTTTAGTAGCGCTCCTCCTTGCTCACCTGAGTAAGACTCGCGCTTCTGGTGCTGCTCAGGGTGGCTGGCAAGGCCGGTGTAACTGCACCCCTAATTTTACTATTCACACGCACCCATGGGATCCTGCGAGTGCGGGTTTCTGTGTGGTTTTTAAGCTGCAGCAGAGTACGTTTGCAGAACGTAAACTCACTAAAGACTCTCCAAGGTTTAGAGGGCATTCCGCAACAGCTGCATGGCGGGCAGAGTGGTGTTCAAGGTAGTTATATTGTGCGTGTGGCAATTTTGTGCCCACACTTTAAATAGATGGGGGGCTGCTCTGCCATACCCAAGCTTGCTGTAGCTGCGTTTTGGTTGTCGCGTTACAGCGCACAGAAAAACTGTCACGAAATGTGAGGTATGAGCTCATCTTCCTATGGCCACCTTGCTCGCTGACCAAAGCAAGCACTTTCAGAATGGGAGGGGGAAAATAAAAACAGATACCAACAACACTATGACTGGGGAGAATATTCTCTCCTGACAGCTGCACGTGGAGAACATGCCCTCTTTGCTGGAAGCATGCTTAGCTGGGTGACATAGGCAGCGTGTCCTCAGACCTAGCTCTTCTCTTGGCCAGTTGGAGTTGGTGAGGAGACACCGTTTAGTTTAGGAAGAGGAAGGTGTGGGAACATGCATGAAGAGGACAGGAGAGCTCAACGACTCGTGCATTTGTGTAGGAGTTACCAGCTGGGAAGGTAAAAGGTGAGAGAACGCTATTTCTATGTTTTAAATCCATTTGTTGCTCTCTGGCAACTGTTTCAGTCTGGGAGAGCCCGCAGGAAGGGAGATCTTGGCTGCCTCTGCCCTGGGTGAGGACTTTGATTAAACCCTTCTTTGATCCCATGTTCGGAAAGCTCAGTGCCTCTTTTTCAAGAGCACTTAGCTGTTTTCCTCCCTGCTCAAAGCTGCCATTCAGATGGTTGCTTTGGAGTCATGTGCAGGGGACGATGATAAGAGGAGCAGTTATAGCATGTCTGCTCGGCCAGGGTGACCAAAGAGAGCTCTCCAGTAAAGCACAGTGCGCCTGGACTCACCTGCTGGCAGTAAGTGCTGAGCTGCCCATCTCTGCGATGCCTTCAGTTCAGCTCTGGTTTGCTGTAGCTCTTTCCACAAGGAGTTCAAAAGGAGATCCTCTGCTCTGGTGGGAAGGAACTTCTCCTAAAGAGCCTCCACCTCAGATCTCCTCAGCCAAGCGCTCTCCAGCCGGTCGAGCCTGCTGGACACATTGTGGCTCAGCAGCAGAACGTGCTCAAGAACTTTGCCTTGCTCGGACTCACGAAGCCTCTTGGCTTCTTCAGCTTGGTCACAGTTCCTCACAAGTGCCTGCTCTACCCGTGACACGATGTGGGAGGTGACTTTCTCCACTGCGGCAGTGAAGGTGCCTGCAAGGTTGGTGGTGAGCTGGCTCAGCTCCGCTTTCAGGGTCTGCAGGTCCACCTTCGGGAGCTCGTCCACCGCCTGCAGCATCATGTTCTCTTTCATCTGGGAGTTCTCAAGCATGATGAAGAGCTTGTCCCACTTGGTGTGCTCTTGCTGGCAGTCGCACGAAACAGCTGGAATAGAAGATACAGATGTTGCTGTGCCTTTGTACTTACGCTTTTAAACACGAGCACTATTTGACAAAAGCTGTCTCTGTGCAAGGCTAATGTGCTCCAAACTGTCACCGTGCTCCCCTCTATATCAAACCAGAAAAGTAAAGCAGTGTGTGTTACCGAGGTTCTAAAAACTAACCATCGTTGGCAGGTTTTTGCAGGAAAACTGAAAAATAAGGGGTATAAATCAAATTCCAAAGCCCACCATCGACATGCTTTAGCATTTGCTGTCCATAACCATCTACAGCAAGCAACACATTTCTTCCTCTGAAAAAAAGCATATTTAGGTTTGTATTATTGTTTCAAATACTAGGCAACAGAGAGCATGATTCTGCACTTAACACAAACTTAGTTTGAATCTACTTACTTTCCTCAGCACCGAGAACTGGACCTTCGATTTCATTATCCAGGTTCACATACATGAGATCGTAGTCGTCGTCTTCATCCAGAGCAGAAACAGGCGCCCTGAAAACACAGAACAGTGTAAGCAGAGAAAATATTTCTTGGGGCAGCATTCTCTGGCTGCTTCCTGAAAAAATCGCCGGGCTGGCTGGAGCTGAAGTCAGATCTTCGGCGGAGACAAGACTGCGAGCGAGACGCAGCGAGCCCCTAATAAACGCTCCGAGCGCCTCGGCTTGAATGAATGAGCGATGCTGGTGCCAGGGTTGTAATAAGAGCGCTTCTGAAATGTTGGTTTTGGCCGAGAGGAGAAGGGGGCGTGCAGCTTGCTCAATTCCAGCCTTTCCAGGTTTGCACGGAGGGGGGAAATGGACTGGCTCCCCCCCGGGGGGAGGCGGGGGGGGGGGGGGCG